CTTGGGAGGACACAGGGATTCTACACCCAGTGGGGCTAGGTGTGCATGTAGTGCCAGGACTGAACTCAGGGACTCAGGTATGTGCTCTGTTACTTGACTCTCTCCCTAGTCCTTATCAGAAACCCCTTTTGCTGGGATGTTTTTTTTTTTTAATTTGTTTTTGAGCAGTGCTCAGGGCTTATTCCCTGTCTCTGTACTCAGGGATCCCTTCTGGTGAGGGTTTGGGGGACTATATTGGATCAAACATGGGTCAGCCACATGCAAGGAAAGCACCCTACTCGCTGTACTACCTCTCTTGCCCTGCTGGGAATATTTTGGGGTTAGGGAGAAGAAGAAATTGGGCCACTCCTGGCAGTGCTCTGGGCTTACTCCTGGCTCAGTGCTCAGAGATCACACCTGGAAGTGCTTGGGGGAACCAGTTGTGATGCCAGGGATTGAACCAGGGTCAGTCACATGAAAGTCAAGTGCCTTAACCCCTGTACTATCTCTCTGGCCCTCTCCAGGCACTGTTAAACTGGAAACACTTCTGCAATTTTGAACTTCTCATCTCCACAAGAGTCTGGCGATGGAGCTAACTCTGTTTTGGTGAGCTGAGACTCAGGCTCGGAGCTCCCAATCCTTATGATGCCTCCGTGACAGGCTCGAGAGATAATGCCCTTGGAAGTAATTAATCTTTCTCTCTTTTTCCTGTAATTTAAAGCTAATTAAGTACATGACTTTATGATGAATTTGACTTGCTTCATCACGATTCCCAGGAGGGAAAAGACATCAGCAGTGGCTAGAAAATGCTTGATTGGAGGAGCTGTGTGCCTAGGAAAGGGGACAGGTTTAAAGCTAGTGCTTGAGGGACGGTTAGGTTGACCCATGAATAAGCACCAGGGAAGGAGGGAGGGAAGCCCAGTGGGGACATAGGGGTGACTGTGCATAACACTGCAGGGCCAACGGTCAGAGAAACTGCCTCCCACGCCAAGAGCAGGACCTGACACAGGGCAGAGCCATCGTATCTCTGTCCAGTGATTGTATCTGGGGGTAGGGGTGGGGGTGGTAGTTCTTGGGCACTACTCCTGGCTCTGTGCTTAGGAATCACCCCCGTGGTGCTTAGGGGACCATATGTGGACCATATGCCAGGATTGAGCCTGGGTTGCAGCTGAAACGGCCATGTGCAAAGTAAGTGACTTCCCCTCCATATTGTCTCTCCAGCCTGGCACCTCTGCCTGCCCTGGGCATCTGTGCTCACAGCTTTCCTCTGCTTGCCTCTCACTGATCCATCACTCATCCTTCTTCCCTCCCTCTCCTCACCCCACACGCCTGTACTTAGTGTATGGGAGATGCAAAACCTAGGCTGCAGGACATCGATCACAAACAAGGAGAGGGACCGTATGGTGCACCAGCTACCCTGGTGTCTCCACAGACTTTGGGAAAGGAGTTGAGCCATGTCTGGGGGGTACTGATAGCTACTCCTGACTCTGTGCTCAGGGGATACTCCTAGAGATGGCACAGGGCAGCATATATGGTTCTGGGGATTGAGCCAGAATCAACTGCATGCAAGGCAAGCACCTTAATCCCTGCATTATTTCTCCGGCTCTTCTGGGGATTGTTGTTGTTGCTGTTATTGTTTTGGACCCATACCTGACAGTGCTCAGGCTTACTCCTGACTCTGCACCCAGGGATGACTCCTTATGGGCTCGGGGAACCATATGGGGTGTCGGGGATCAAACTCGGGCTGGCCGCATGCAAGGCAAACACCCTACCCAGTGTACTAGCTCTCTGACCCTGCTCCAGGGACTTTTAAGACTGGGAATTATTTGCGGTGGGTTCCACTCATTATCACGAAAACAAACTGCATTTTCACAGGCTTTTGGCAGCCCCGCAGACTCTGCTTTGTCCAATCAGAGTGATGGCTCCCAAAGAAGACAGTGGGCTTCCCAGGGAAGGTCCCATACCCACCACAAGGCGGCAGAGACACTGACCACTGCCTGAGCGAGACCCCTGGGCTGGCTTCTCCTGTGACTGTGCCATGAAAGCTTTGCTCTGCTCATCTGTCTGCTGAAAAGGAGCGAAAGTCCCTGACCCCCACATTCTCCATCTCATCTGACTCCACAGTCTCTCTGCTCTGAGACAGGAGATGTTCCAAGAGGGCAAAGCTGTGGGACTGGAGCCACCTCAGGGCTGTAATTTCCCGGGTTAATTTGTGGCAAGTGTCTTGAGGCACTCTCAGAATGTGGAGGAGTAAGCCGCCCTCCAGCCGCCTCCTGCCACCCCACCCACCCCTGCAGCCCTCTGCAGCTTGCTTCCTGAATTTCAGAATAAGTACTGACTTCCTCTCTGGCACCACTTCAGAAAAGAAAGGTAAACAACAGACCCTGGAAATTACTCCTCCTCAAGGAACAAGATGGGTTCGATATTCTAGAGGATGGTCTGAAATTTGGAAGAACCATTCTTTACACTCCTTGGTTTGGCTTCTGTTTTATGTTTATTTTATTTAAGTATATGCTTGGATCTTTTTGTTTCTTTTATTCTTTTTTGTTGTGATTGTTTTGGGGCCACACACAATAGTGCTCAGGAGTCACTCCTAGCTTTTTGCAGGGATCAGAGAACCATATGTGGTGCCAGGGATTGAACCCTGGTCAGTTGCATGCTATACTATCTTTTTTAACTCCCTCTTTTCCTTTTCTTTTCTTTCCTTTCCTTTCCTTTCCTTTCCTTCTTTCTTTCTTTTTTTTTAAAGAATCCAAAAGTGTTTGCCTTTTCTCTAAGATCAACCCTTTTTCTCTCTTTTTCACACAGCTTCTCTCTCCGTGCAAACCTTTAGTTTGGTGACATTCAGACACAGGCCTTTATGTGCTTTGATCTGTAATGTGCCGTGGGGGACCATTCCGCTCTGTACTAGGTCACAACAGTACAATACATGCGAAGCCCTGACTATCAGGGCCTTCCACTGACGGCGATTGTTCTTACAGTCCCAGAGACCCTAAGCTGAGAGCACCATGTTAATTCTGATTCATCCCCACAGTGCTAGTGTGACTGAGAGGGCAGAGATCATGGTCCCTGCTCTAGAGGTGGGGAAACCAAGGCACAGAGAGGAAATCTATACAAAGTCACTAAGTCAGAAACAAATGAACCCAAGGGGTAGGCAAGATCACCCACGGACCTTTCGGTGCCTTATCCAAAACACAGATTGTGTCTATTTTCAAGTGATAGAAAGTGGATTTAGGTGGAACTTTCTATGTAGTTTCCAGAGTCCTCTAGGAAACACAATGTAGGAGCCAAGATCACATGAAGTGTTTAGTTAAATGCCCCTGACTCACAGACAATGCCAAACATCACAGCTCACTGACATCCCAGTTACTGACAACAAGAAAATTTGAGGGGAAAAAAACTACCCATTAAAGAAATAAAACAGCACCTTATCCTGGTTTCACAGCAATTAAAATATAATACACTTAAGCACTACATCTTTCTACACGATACTCCTATACCTGCTGGGAGTGGGGATGGCAAGGAAGAGTGACTCTGTGTGTGTGTGTGTGTGTGTGTGTGTGTGTGTGTGTGTGAGAGAGAGAGAGAGAGAGAGAGAGAGAGAGAGAGAGAGAACAGACATTTTAAGGATCATTCTACCCAGCAGAAAATAACTGAAGTATCTGTACTGTTGTAGTTCTTTACCCTGATGCTTTCTTTTCTTTTTTTGGTCACATTTATTTCCTGATTCCGATTAAATGGAGAAAGTAATGCTCTACTTCCTACCTTCCCTGATGGAGGCAGGGTCCGTGCGTATCTATGGCTGGGGACTGTGTTCGGTTCATGGGAGGAAATACTAAGGCTGCCCAAAGACCACTGGTCTGGACAGCTGGGGCCCATCTTGGTCTGATCTTGCAAGTACTTCCACCCAGAGGCTGAATAACCAACTGTTTGCAGTGAATTGCTTTTTCCAAGGCCAGGAATCTATACTTCCAGAAACTAATCTCAGCCAGCAGCATCCTCCTGCCTCCCAACTCCAGGTCAAGAAAGGCACAAAGACAACCAACAAATAATACTGAGGTGGCCTTGGATCTGGGAACCCTTGAGGTACCAGAGGAGTAATGGTGGCCCCGACTGGCCTGTGGGAAAGGTGAGGCACAGACAGGGCTCAAATGCTTTCTGTCATAGGTGAGAGGAATTTGGCGGTGGGGGGGGGGGGTGGGGAGGGAGATGGTGGGGACATTCTCTTTGTCATCACAGAGGAATGGGCAGGAAGAGGAAGGACACCACAGTCAAAGTGATCACAGTCCTGCACAGCCAAGAGGCCACTTCAGCCTGCCCGTCACCAACAGGAAGTTGCCCATGGACTGATTCCTTCAGAGAGGGGTCCCTACCCCCCACCTCCAGGGAGACCTGGGGGAATGCAGGGTCAGCTGGGGATTCAGGCAGGCACGGAAGGTCACTCTGCTTCTTAAGGCATGGCTGCTGTCTGCCAGGAGTGGCTGACACGCTGGCCCAAGACTACCCTGCAAAAATGGGAGTGTAGGCGGGTGCCCTGCTGCCTGAGGACCACTTCCCCTAGGGCCTGAGGGGCCCCTCTGGCCCAGCAGCAAGCACCAAACCAAAGGATTTCTTCTACCACTTGGGAGCATAAGGAGATTGGTGGAGGGGCCGGGGGTGGGGGGGGGGAGACACAAACGGACCATTATCTGCAGCTGATGTCTAACTAAACCCATGGAAACCAACAGAAAAGCTAGGATAAATCAGACAGAATTTTGCGAGTGGCAGATAAAACGTCAAGCACACATAAATCAATCGCTTGCGGGGGTTGACTCGGATTGTGCTCTAACACCGCTGTGCTTTCCTGTCAAGTCGTCCTGCCTTGTGCACTGTCCAAGCTCCACGAGGTGCCTCAGACACCACGACATGGAAGATACCTGGGACCAACCCTGCAGGAAGGGGGAAGTCACCGCTGCCCTCTTTCCAAGGCGGGCCTCCTTCCCATGCCAACCTAGCCCCCTGGCCCCAGCAGTCTCTAGTCCAACCCCACAGACCCGCAGCTTGGCACCAGGCATTTGATGGTGGGACGTCGACACGGTCAAAGATTGTGCTAATTCGTTCTCCAAATGAAGTCAGTGTTTAAAAACGAAGGCGGCGGAGTGACGAGTCTCACAAGTCCGCCCTTGCTGGCGTGTGGCCTCGCTGGGCAGGAGGCAGCCCGGCTTGACTGTGGGGCTGAGCCACGACTGGCACTCACCGCCACGGGTCGGCCAAAGCGACGACGACGACGGGAGCTCCCGCGGGGCCCCGGCCTGGCAGTCTGACTAGGCAGGGGTGAAGGGGGAGGGGGGGTCGGTGGTCATTTGCGGTCCAGGCTGGCGTGTAGCTGCGCCTCGCGCACCATGCGATCGAAGGAGCGCGTGTTGGTCTCTTCGCGAACCTTCTCGCGCACGTGGAAGGAGGCCCGGGCCGTGGAGCGCGCGCTCTCTAGCGCGCTCCGCCGCTCGCGTGACAGCTGCTCGCTGCGCTCCAGCTTGCGCCCGATGGCCTGGATCAGCTCCCGGCGGCGACAGTCTTCATCGCGGTCCACCTTCTCCTTGTTGGCGCGCTGGGTCCGCTCCTTCTCCAGCCGGTTCTGGCCCACCCGTCGCGCCTTCTCCTGCACCGCCTCCTCAACCGCCTGGGTGGCATGCTGCTGCCGCCGCTCTCCGACCCGGGCCAGCGCCTCCAAGTGCTCCCGATGCTCCCGATCTTTGCGCTCGGCGGTTTCCTTGGCACGCCGTCCCTGCAGTTCCTCCCGCCGGGCTCGCTCCCGCAGTTCCCGGGCGCGCTGCTCCACCAGCTGCTCGTAGTTCTCTTGCGCGCGGCCCAGGCTGGCCTCCAGGGAGCTCCTCAGGCCCTCCCGATCCTCGTGCTCCTGCCGAACCCGGCCTTGCAGCAGCGCCTCGTGGCGCGCCCGCTCGGCCCGGCTCAGCTCCCGCTTCTCGCGCTGCAACTGGCCATCCTGCCGTTGCTTGGTGCGCGCCGCGCGCTGCGCGCGCTCCCGGCGGACCTGCTCGGCCCGCGCCCGCCCTTCCTGCAGGCCCTCCTCGCGCTGCTTCAGGTTCTGTTCCTGCTGCAGCTTGCGCAGCCGGTCCTCTTGGGCCGCGCGCTCCGCCCGCTCCCGCCGCAGCAGGCCCTGGCGCTCGCTCAGTTCCCGGCGCCGCTCCTCGCTGCGCTCGTACTGCCGCTGCCGCCGCCGCGCCGTCTCGCGCTCCTCGCGGCCGCGCCGGCCCCGCCGCTCCTCCACCTGCGCCGCCCAGGCCCGCCGGCCCTGCTCCAGCGCGCGCTGCTTCTCGCGCTCCTCGCGCTCCCGCCGCTGCTCGGCGCGCAGGCGTTGCTGCTCCCACTGGCCGTGGGCCGCGGCGCGCTGCTCCAGCAACAGGCGCTCCTCCTGGTGGCGCGCCAGCATCAGCGCCGCGATCTTGCGGTCGCGCTCGGGCACCCCGCGCAGGCCCCGCTCGGCGCGGACCTGGCGCACGATGCGCTCCACGTGCTGCGCCGTCTGCGGCGAGTGGCTCAGGTCGCCGAGGCTGAAGCTCCGGCTGGGGATCGGAGGCAGGGCCAGGGCGGACGGGCGCCCCGTCGGGTTGGGGACGGACGCCGCCGACCCCGCCGGGTAGCTGTGTCTGGCCGAGGCGCGCGACGACGACCAGCGCGTCTCGCGCAGGCTCTCGCCGCTGTAGGACGACGACGACGCGCCCGACTCGGAGCTCAGGGCGCCGTCCCGTCGGCGGGACAGCGAGTCCAGGGAGTGGCTCTTCCTCCCGGTCCGCGACCCCGCTGGGGGAGGTTGGCTGCGGGCCGGGGAAGGGCTGGAGGAGGCCTTGCGGGTGCCGCGCGGCGCGGGCGAGGCCGGCAGGCTGGCGCTGCTGCAGCTGCTGCTGCTGCCCGCGCCGGGGGCCGCGGCCGCGGGGCCCAGGGGCGTGAAGAGGCGCCGCTTCTCCTCGCGCACGATGCGCTCGCGTTCCGCCCGGCACTGCTGCAGCTTGGCTCGCCGCTCCGCCTCGTAGGCCTCGTACAGGCCGGTGGCCACGCGCATGGAGCGGCCCGGAGCCTCGCGCACCAGGTCGGCCAGGGCGCGGGGCAGCAGTTCCACGGGCTTGACGGCGCAGCGGGCGCAGGCCTCCAGCGAACGGGGGCTGGTGAGCACGTAGCGGCTGCCCTCAGCCTCGGGACAGTCGAAGTTGAAGAGGTCGAGGTGCAGCATGGGGGACTGCTCCCGCCGGCCGCCTTCCGCTGCGCACGGGACATCCGCCTTGCGGGGCACCGCCCCCGAGGCCGAGGCCGAGGGGGTGGCGGGCTGCTGGGCGCCCTGGGCATCGGGGGCGACGGATGCGGCGGCCCCATTCCCGCCCGAGCCTCCGGGCTCTGCTCCCGTATTCTCCTCTCGAGGCACAGGGTCCACCATGGCTGAGCTTCTTTGGATGGAGTTTCTGCAGATGACAAGGGAAGGACATGGAAGAAGCCGTCTGAGAGCGTTTCTCCCGACACCCCCACCCCCTTCCCACCCCACCCCCACACACATTAATCCGCTTTGGGATGAGGCTCCGGAGCTGCTGGAATAAATCAGGATACGGATGCCCAGGAAATCCAGGCCACAGGAGGAGGAAGGGGAGCGGGTCCTGGTGCAGAGCGCGCGGCTGAGCCGCCGGCTCTCCCCACCCCCGGGGAGCGGGGTGGAGGCCGACGACCAGGCTCCCCGGGGTGTCTAGTTTGTAGGATGCATCTCCTTGGTGCTGCAAGTTAAAAAGAAGATGGAGATGCGGGGAGGAGCAGGCGGCGGGAGAGACGCTTGCGGATTCCCGGGAGGATTAGCGTGTTTGTTCGTAGCTTACGCGGGTCACCCAGGATGCAGCTTTGCAAGAACAAAAAGGGGAGAGGCCTGTGCATCCCCAAAGTGAATTGCTGCTGCGAGGACCCCGTTGCCCAGGAAAGAAGTTGGTGATCGACGCTCCCCTGGCTAAAGGAGACTCACGCTGCCCCCCTCCCCCCCCAACCCCGGGGCTGATGGGAGGGCTGAGCGAAACGCTTCATTCCCAAAAGGCCTCTTCGGGAGGGGTGATGATTCTGCTCCTGCCTCTTGGGCAGGGCTTCCTAGGAACGGTGCCCGCCTTCCCCCACCTCCTCCCCTCCTCCCCACAGCTTTCGCAGAGGATGGAGAAGATGCCTGGGTCCTCCCAATTTCCTCCGAATCTGGATGTGCCCTGCCCAAGGCACCATCCACCCAAGACGGTGCTCGGACACCTGCTCCGGATACCTTGCAGTGGCGCGCGCGCGCACTCACGCACACACAGGCGGGAGCTTGGGCGAGCCTGGCCTGGCCAGTGAGGGCCGCGGCTGGGTGTCCCCCCACCCGCTCTCCCGGGCCGGGTCACTTACCGCGCGCGTGTCCGGTGCTCAGGCCCCCGCGCCGCCGAGGGCTTTTGTTAGCAGCTGCCTCTCCGCTTTGCGCCTCTTCAGTCCGCGCGCCGGCGGGGTCGGATTTCTGCCGCCTGCAGCCGCCGCCGCCACCACCGCAGTCGCCGCCAGCGCCCTTCCATGGGGCCCGCACACCCCCACCAGACGCTACCTAAACGCGGGAGGGGGAGTGAGATGAGGTCTCCCCAAAATAACGCGGCTCGGCTCCCTTCCTTCTCGCGGATTCTCAAAACAGCCGGCGGGGTTCGCTGGCGGCTGCATCCATCGCCGCCTCCCCTGCCGCCAAGGTACCGCAGGTCCTTTGGTGCTCGCAGCGCCCCCTGCTGGACATGCTGGGGTGTCGATTGGTTTGCTTAGAGGACGAAGAGATTTTTTTTTTCCACGACAAAATATTTATATATTTATTTTATGAACGGGTCGTGATTTACAAAGTTATTGATATTTGAGCTTCACAGTTTTAATTTTTAATTATGTTTTGGTTTCTGGGCCACTCTCGGCAATGCGCAGGGCTTGCTCTTGACTCTACTCTTGGCTCTGCGCTCAGGAATTGCTCCCAGCGGTGCTCAGGGGAGCATACAGGGGATCGAACCTGAGTTGGTCAAATGCAAGGCAAGTGCCCTATACGCTGTACTTTTGCTAAAGCCCCTGAGAGTTGAGTTTTAGACATACAGTGTTCCAGCACCAATCCCATCACTAGTGTCAGTTTCCCCCCACCAGAGTTCCTAGGTTCCCTTCCATCCCCAGCCTGGAACCTTGACAGGCACAAGTCTGGCCATTAATATTTAGGTCTCATGCTCTCACTGTTGTTGAGATAGCTAAATAGCTAAATAGCTAAATATATAAATAGCTAAATATCTAAGCCACAGAGATTTTTTTTCATGTAGGAGTACTGCTATTTATTCAGCCACTGATTAGCTGATTGAATTGTGCATGAACTCCACCTTACTTTTTTTATTTTTTATAATTTTATTTATTGAATCACTGTGAGAGCAGTTACAAAGCTTTCGGGTCTAAGTTTTGGGTCTAAGTTTCATACAATGAAACACCTGTACCTTCACCAGTGCCCATTCTCCACCCCCAACAACCCCAGTATACCCCCGTCCTACACCCTCCCCCTACCTGTGGGGCAGATGATTTCCACATTACTCTCTCTCTACTTTGATCACATTCAATATTTTGACACCAGACCCACCATTATTATTTGAGATTTTACCCCAACACTCAGATCTGCTGAAAAGGCAACAGTAGACAATTTGTTTTCTATTGCTGGTTATGAATAGCATACGATGTTGCGTGGCTCCAGTAGTGGCCGCGTGATTTTGAAATTCCGAAATTTTAACACTTAAATCTGGAGGGATTTTTGCCAAAACCTGCTGGGTTCTGAGATTTGCTCCTGAGTTTCTGGGACCATGGCCGTTAAGCAGCTTGATCAGGAGCCAGAAAGGCCGTTCGTGGGTGATGACTTGGGGTCTCGTTGGAGTGGGGAGGACAGGACCGGCTCCACCCCCATCCCGTGAGGCCCAAAATGTCTCGTCACTGCGGGCCCAAACCTGACTGTCCAAAGGCCTCTGGAGGATAACGGCCACTGAGCCGCCAGGGGGTAGCAGGCGGAGGGACAACACCCTTTCCCCCCTGGGGTGGCCCGGCAACAGTAACCTACTGCGTGGTACAGACACACTTCTGCCAAAAGCTGCTGAGTTTCGAGATTTGTTTTTGAGTCTCTGGGATCATGGCCATTAAGCAGCTTGATCAGGAGCCAGAGTGGCTGTTCATGGGCGATGACTTGGGGTCTTGTTGGGACGGGGAGGACAGGACCGGCTCCACGCCCATCCCGTGAGGCCCAACAAGGTTCGTCACTGTGGGCCCAAGCCTGACTGTCCAATGGCCTCTGGAGGATGGCGGCCACCAAGCCACCAAGGGGGAGCAGGCAGAGGGACAGCACCCTTTCCCCCCTGGGGTGGCCCGGCGACAGTAACATACTGTGGGGTCCGGACACATTTCTGCCAAAAGCCGCTGGGTTTCGAGATTTGTTTCTGAGTCTCTGGGATCATGGCTGTTGAGCAGCTTGATCAGGAGCCAGAGACGCCGTTTGTGGGCAATGACTTAGGGTCTCATTGGGTTGGGGGGGACAGGACCGGCTCCACCCCCATGCCGTGAGGCCCTGCGTGTCTCATCACTGAGGGCCCAAACTTGACTGTCCTGACTGTCCTGTGACCTCTGGAGGATGGCAGCCACTGGGCTGCCAGGGGGAACAGGCCAAGGCACAAAACCTATTCCCACCTGGGTTGGCCCATCACCGGCAACCTACTGCAGGGACCAGACGCATCTCTGCCAAAAGCCGCTGGGTTTTGAGATTTGTTTCTGAGTCTCTGGGATCATGGCCGTTGAGCAGCTTGATCAGGAGCCAGAGACGCCGTTTGTGGGCAATGACTTAGGGTCTCATTGGGTTGGGGGGGACAGGACCGGCTCCACCCCTATGCCGTGAGGCCCTGCGTGTCTCATCACTGAGGGCCCAAACTTGACTGTCCTGACTGTCCAGTGACCTCTGGAGGATGGCAGCCACTGGGCTGCCAGGGGGAACAGGCCAAGGCACGAAACCTATTCCCACCTGGGTTGGCCCATCACCGGCAACCTACTGCAGGGACCAGACGCATCTCTGCCAAAAGCCGCTGGGTTTCGAGATTTGTTTCTGAGTCTCTGGGATCATGGCCATTAAGCAGTTCAATCACGAACCAGAGAGGCCATGCCGCCAATTATATAGCTGAACCGGAGGTGGTTTGTGGGTGTGTTTCCCACATACATAACTTTTGACCGTTTACTTTCTTGCTAAATTTTTCCCCAAGTTTTTGGGGTCTGGCCAAAGGCATAGCAGCAATTTTGGGGTATCTGGAAGTCTGAAGGCACCATCAGGCTGCTGATGCACTCGCCTCACAGGTACAAATTGACCTGCTGGCGGCACCATACCCCTTATACTAATATATATATATATATATACACACACACTAAGTATATATACTGTACACACATATAAGTTAAGTACCTTAACTAGAAAGAAGGACTGACTCCAACTCACTTTGTTTCTCAAGGGGACCCTATGAAGCAAACAAACTCAACAGTGCATTATTGGATAAAAATAAGTCTCCTGATGGAAATTGTGATTTTGTTCTTTTTTAAAAAAAGTTTTGGGTCACACCTTCTGATGCTCAGGGGTTTCTCCTGCCTTTGTACTCAGGAGTTATTCCTGGAAGTGCTCAGGGGACCATGGTGAACCCAGATTGATCACATACAAGGCAAGAGCCTAGCCCACTGTACTATTGCTCCAGCCCCTGATTTCATTCTTCAAGAAACTCTGAGAACATCCAGATAGGTCTGAGACAGGGATAAGGTGTGTATCTAGTGTTTAATACAACATTTTAAGACTTCCTGGTTACAGATAAATAAAACCAGCTAGTGGTGTCAGTTGAGTGCTTCTTCAGGTCACCTCCCCACCTCTGCCCCTTGGACAGAGTAGTCGTGGCTGTAGAAGACAGAGGGAAGAATATGTGAGGGATTTAGATTTGCTGTGTGTGTGTGTGTGTGTGTGTGTGTGTGTGTGTGTGTGTGTGTTTAACCTTAAAGAGCAGAGTGAACTCCACTGTCAATATCCTTGACCTTGTCAAGTAGGTACTGAGTAAGGGAAGGGCTGAAGGCAGGAAAATGACATGATCTGGTGTTGATTAAATGAATATGACTCTGGCAACTGTGGGCTGAGAATTTCAGGAAGGTCAAAAGAAGAAAGATTGCCCAGGTAGCCCAAGGCAGGACGGAGGGCCGGAGAGATGTCCAGCTTCCTATCTCTGGAGCACATGCTTTGCATGCAAGAAGAGCAGCTTCCATCCTGGGTACCACATGATCCCCCGTGCAAAGGGCTGGAAATAGCCCCTGAGCGTCGCTCTGAGAGACGAAAGATGAAAACCTGAGTGAGTACAACAGGAGGAGGATGTGGCTGGTGGCAACTGT